TAGTAGGTAGGAGGAGTAATAGGTATGTAGTAGTGGCAATCATAGTAGTAATAGTAGTAGTAGTAGGAGTAAGGCAAAAGTAGTGTCATAATAGTAGTAATAGTATGTAGTAGTAGGAGAGTAATAGTATGTAGGTAGTAAGGAGGGGGTAGTGAAAATAAGTAGTATTAGTGAGTAGTAATAGTAGTAGTAGGAGTAGTAATAGTGTCGTAGAGTAGGAATAGTAGTCGTAGTAGGAGTGAAATAGTAGTAGTAGTAGTAATAATCGTAGTAATAGTAGTAGTTAGTAGGAGTAGGAATAGTAGTAGTAATCATAGTAGTAAGAGTCGTGTAGTTAGGGAGTGTATAGTCGTAGTAGTAGGAGTAGTACATAGTAGCTGTTCGGAGTAGTAATAGAGTAGTAGTAAGGAGTAGTAATAGTAGTAGTAGGAGTAGGAATATTGGTAGTAGGAAGTTGTAATAGTAGTAGTTTGGCGTAGGAATAGTAGTAGTAATAATAGTGTAATCGTATAGTAGCTAAGGCGCGTTAGTACTAGTCGTAGTAGGTAGTAGTTAATAGTAGTTAGTATAGACAGTGTCAGGCAGTGGTCACATAGTAGTCGTCGGAGTAGGAATAGTAGAAGTCAGTGGGAGTAGTACATAGTGGTTAGTAAGGGTCGTAATAGTAGGAGTAGGAGTAGAAACTAGTAGTAGTAGGAGTCGTAATAGTAGTAGTAGTGGAGTGTAATAGTGTGGTACGGAGAAGCTAATAGCTTAGTAGGAGAGTAATGTAGTAGTGGAGTAGTAATAGTACTAGGAGGAGTAGTATCAGTAGCTAGTAGTAGAGTGGTAGCGTAGTATGAATAGTAGTAGTTGAATAGTAATAGTGGTCGTAGGGTAGTAATAGTCGTAGTAGTAGTAGTAGTTAGTAGTAGTAGTAGTGGAGGAAGTGTAGTGTAGTAGGAGTCGTATGTTGTAGAAGGAGTAGTAGGTAGGTAGTAGGTAGTAGTTGGAGTATTAGTAGCTAGTTCGGAGGCGTCGTAGTCTGTAGTAGTCGTAGTCGGAGTCGGGGTATTGTAGTAGTAATACGTATTGGAGGAGTAGAAGTGGGAGTAGGAGTAGTCTGTACGGAGTCGTAGTAGTACGTAGCGATTAGTAGTAGGGTAGTAGTGTGTCGTCGTAGGAGTCGTATTAGTCGTAGAGGAGTAGTGGTACGTCGTAGTAGTTGTCGCGAGTTATTAGTCGTAGTAGTAGGAGGAGTGTAGTAGGAGTCGTAGTTGATAGGAGGAAGTAGTAGTAGTAGAGTAGTCGTCGTAGTCGTAGGAGGCTAGTTAGGTAGTGGCGTAGGAGGAGTCAGTAGGTCGCTATTCGTATTAGTTGTAGGAGGAGTAGTTTGTCGTAGTAGCTAGGGAGGGTAGTAGTAGTAGAAGTAGTAGTTTATAATAGGTGTGAGTGGTAGTAGTAGGTAGTAGGACGTCGTAGTCGGAGTAGTAGTAGTAGGAGGAGTAGTAGTAGAAGAAGTCAGTACGTTTAGTAGGCGGAGTAGGAGTAGTCGTAGGCGTAGTAGTGTCGTCAGTAGTAGGTAGGAGGCGTAGTAGTAGTAGTAGTAGGAGTAGTAGTAGGAAGTAGTAGTAGAAGTAGGGTAGTACGTAGGTAGTAGTGTAGGAGGCGTGTGTGGGAGTAGGAGTAATAGTAGTAGTAGTAGTGTTTCGGAGGAGGAGAAGTAGTACGTAGTAGTAGTAGTCGGAGGAGTCGTAGTAGTAGGTAGTAGTCGTCGTCGTAGTCGTCTAGTCGGAGTAGTAGTTGTCGGCGTAGTAGTAGTAGCAGGAGTAGTAGTACGTCGTGTTAGGAGGCGTAGTAGCTAGTAGAAGTTGTCGTAGTCTTATTCGGAGGGGGGTAGTAGGGTAGTGGTATTAGGGTGTAGTTGTACGGAGAGTTAGTAGTAGTAGTCGGACGTTAGTAGTTGTAGTAGTGTTAGGAGGGTAGTTGAAGTAGAAGTAGTGGTAGTAGAAGAAGTGTTAGGAGGAGTCGTCGTAGTAGAGTAGCTCGTCGTAGAGTAGTAGGTAGTAGTGTACGGAGTAGTAGTTTGGTAGGAGTCGTGTAGGTAGTAGGAGGATTAGTCAGTCGTGTCGTAGGAAGTCGAGGAGGGTGGCGTGTCAGTCGTAGGGTAATTCGGAGGGGAGGCTTAGTCTAGTCGTGTGTCGTCGTAGTATACGTGTTTAGGCGGAGGAGTAGTACTTAGTGTAGTGTCGTATCATGGCTGCGTATGCATGGTAGACGTCGACGTCTTCTTCGGCGTCTTAGTAGTAGAAAGTTCTAGTAGTAGGAGGAGGGGGGGGGAGTAGAAGTAGGCGGGTCTTCGGAGTAGTATTAGGAGGAGTAGTAGTAGTAGCCGTAGTAGGTAGAGTAGTAGGAGGAGGAGTAGTAGTATAAGTAGTAGATATAGTAGTAAAGTAGCTTTAGGTAGGCCGTAGGTATAGGAGGGGTCGTAGGTAGTAGGAGGAGTATAGTAGTAGTAGATAGTTAGTAGGATAGGGCAAGTAGTAGCGGTGCAGTAGGAGTCAGGTAGTAGTAGGAGGAGTCGTATAGTCGTAGTCGGAGGAGTAGAACGTCGTAGGAGGCGTAGTTAGTAGTAGTCGGAGAGTAGTAGTAGTAGTAGGAGGAGTTAGTAGTGTACATAGTAGTAGTGCAGAGTCGTAGGTAAGATGTAGGTAGTCGTCGGAGTAGTCGTAGGTGTAGTAGTAGTTGTAGTAGATGTAGTAGTGGTAGTAGGAAGTAGGCGTAGCGGAGTCGTGTAGGAGGGGAGTAGGTAGTAGTGTAGTAGGACGTAGTAGTAGTATTAAGGAGGTAGTAGGTAAGGAGGAGTTTTGTAGGAGTATTAGCTAGAAGTCGGTAAGTAGTTGTAGTAGTAGTATGAGTTAGTAGTCGGAGGCAGGCTGTAGTAGTAGTTGTAGTAGGAGTAGTAAGTAGAAGTGTAGTAGCACGTAGGAGTCGTAGTAGGAGGGGTAGTCGAAGTCGACGTAGACTGTGGGTCGTAGTCGTAGGCGTTCGGTCGTAGTACGGCGTCGTCTTAGTATTAGCGTGTAGTCCGTAGTAGTCGTAGTAGGAGGACGTAGTAGTACGTAGTAAATTCGGCGGAGTAGTAGTAGTAGTAGTCGTATCTCGTAGTGTGTTCTAGGAGAGTCGTCGGAGGGGTAGTAGTAGACGTAGTAGTAAGGTAGTAGGAGGTGGTAGTCGGCGGAGTCGTAGGAGTAGTAGAAGAAGTAGTAGTAGGTAGTAGGAGTAGGTCTTAGAGTAAGTCGTAGGAGGTCGTAGTGTAGTAGTAAAGTAGTGTCGTAGTAGGAGTAGTAGTAGGAGTAGTCGTAGGAGGACGGAAGTATAGTAGGTAGTAGTAGGAGAGTGTGGGTATAGTAGTAGGAGGTGAGTAGAAGTGGGGTAGACAGTAGAAGGGAGTAGGGTCGGAGGCCGTAGTTAGTAGTAGTCGGTTAGGGTAGAAGTGGCTAGTCGTCGCGTAGGAGGAGGTGTCGTAGTCATAGTAGTAGTAGTAGGAGGCTTCGTTAGAAGTCGTTCTACTAAGCGTCGTCTTAACGCGTCGTTCTACTACTACTGTCTCTCACTACTTTACTTTCTCCGCTGCTACTTACTACTACTACTAACATCCCCCTCTACTATCCCCCACCCCCCCAATTTTACTACTACTTCGCTACTACTATTTATCTGACTACTTGCTAATATTACTTATGATACTACTTTCTCTACTACTACTAATACTTCCTATTTACTTCTCTACTACTTCTTCTGTTACTACTAACTCTATACTTACTACTACTAATACTTCTGATACTACTACTACTAATTCTGGCTACTACTACTACTATCTACTTTACTACTACTACTACTTCTGATACCTACTATACTACTAACTACTTTGCTACTCTACTACTATTACTTCTACTACTACTACTACTCTTACTACTAATACTACTACTACTCTTGCTTCTAATTCTATTACTACTACTACTCTTACTACTACTACTACTACTACTACTACTACTACTACTATTACTACTATTACTACTGTTACTACTACTCTTACTCTTACTACTACTACTACTACTACTACTACTATTACTACTATTACTACTGTTACTACTATTCTTACTACTAATACTACTACTACTACTACTTCTTCTACTATTACTACTTCTGCTACTACTACTATTACTACTATTACTACTACTATTACTACTACTATTACTACTATTACTACTACTACTCTTACTACTACTACTACTACTACTACTACTACTGATACTACTACTACTGCTATTACTACTATTACTACTACTACTACAACTACTTCTCTTACTACTACTACCACTACTACTACTACTACTATTACTACTACTATTTCTACTATTAGTACTACTCTTACTACTACTACTACTACTACTACTACTGCTGCTGCTGCTGCTGCTGCTGCTGCTGCTACTATTACTACTGCTATTACTACTATTACTACTACTACTACTCCTATTATTCTACTACTACTACTACTCTTACTACTACTCTTACTACTACTACTACTACTACTACTACTACTACTACTAGTATTACTGCTACTACCACTACTACTACTACTACTATCACTACTCTTACTACTACTACTACTACTATTACTACTACTACTACTACTACCACTACTCTAACTACTACTACTACTACCACTACCACTACTCTTACTACTATTACTACTACTACTACTATCACTACTACTGCTGCTGCTGCTACTACCACTACTCCTACAACTACTACTACTACTACTACTACTACTACTACGACTACTACTACTAATACTACTACTACTACTACTACTAATAATAATAATAATAATAATAATAATAATATTAATAATAATAAAAATGATAATTATAATAATAATACTGCATTATCTTATGTTCAGACAAGAAATTTATAAAAGAATTCAAGTAATTCCATCTACAATAATTTTGTTTTCTCAGCTCTGCCGTGGTTTGAGGAGCGGCCATTGAATGTGACTGCTCCTTCAGGAGTGGTGGTAGAGTTGACGTGTCGGGCGCGTGGGTCACCCATGCCTTCAGTATCCTGGCAGCGGCTAGATGGCAAGATACCACAGGGACGCTCCAGGATAGATACCCAACATCAACGGCTGGTGCTAGAGCAGGTGCGGCCTGTTGACTCTGGTGTATATGTTTGTGAGGCGGAAAGTGAAGGAGGAACAGTGACTGCCCAAGCCACTGTCACTATCGTAGACACCCCAACGCTGACACAAAGACAGCAGCGCCTTCAGGTAATGACAGGAGACACAGCACAAGTTTCGTGTTGTGTGGAAGGTAAGCCTCAGCCTCTTGTACTATGGCGCCTTCCCACGCCAGACAGAACTGCTGTTCTTGCTCCTGGACAAAGTAATGACCACATCTCTGTGTCAGGTGATGGTCATACTCTGCAATTAAAACACGCAACAACAGAAGACAGCGGCATATACTACTGTTGGGGTGTCAGCAGTGGTGGAGGTGTAAGTGGAAAAGCAGAGGTGATGGTGGTGTCAGCTCTTCCACCACCAGTGATGGGTGTTGGTCCCAGAGATATTAAGATTGCACCAAGGAGTACTGCAGCATTTCCCTGTGAGGTAGTGAGTGAGGCAGCCCAAGCCACCATCTCCTGGTGGTACCGTCCAGCTATCCACCTGCCACCCCGTCAACTATCCCAAAACACTGCTGATCACCGACTCTCTCTCCCTGACAATGGTGCCCTCATCCTACACAATGTGCAACTTAATGACTCCGGGATCTACACCTGTCGAGCAACGGCTGACTCGGGAACAGTGGAACAAGCTGCAGTACTTCGAGTAGAACATAATGCTAACATTAGTGAACCTTTGCTGCTGCCGGCGCCTCCTACCAAGCCACGTTTAATAGCTGTAAACCAAACAGCGGTGCATCTAAGCTGGCTTCCCAACTCACAAGAAGGTAAAGAGACAGGTCACTGGTACACAGTGGAGTACTGGAGACAGGGCTGGGACGAATGGCGAGTAGCTGACGCTATCATGATGCAGGAGTCATGCGTTTTGAGTCATCTCAAGCCAGGGCACACCTACACCTTCCTGGTCCGTGCCGTCAACAACAGAGGGGCATCATTCCCCAGTCCCTGGTCAGATCCAGTCACTACTCACCCTCCTCTTGACCCCAGTCTTACTGTGGACCAGGTCCGCCAGGCTCACCGCCGCCTCTCTCGCCCCATCATCACCCTCACTGATGCTACCACTACTGCCCCTGACAGTGTAATGCTCACCTGGGACTTTCTGGCCTCGTCAGATGAATCTTTGGAGGGTGTGTTGGTGTACTCAGTGACCAAGACTGGCACTGTTCAAGTGGCCACTGTCCTTGGTGCCTCGTCCTTCTCTTACCTCTTTCAGCACCTGAATGCCAACACTCACTACACCTTCTTCATCGTTCCATACTGGCGCAGCATCGAGGGAACACCTTCCAACTCTCATTCTCTCACCACACCAGAAGATGGTAGGTTATTAGCTAATTTTCTGATTTTTTTTATTTCCTTGTAATGTAGTCATTTTTTCATTATGGATCCCCAAAGGGGACCTTAATGAGGTATTATTTTTTCTTCCTCCAACTCGAAAATACCTCATCCAATCGGTTTCAAATTTTCAACACTTGTGTATGGTAACTAGGACCAAACTCTTGGAACAATTGTCATGTTCATGTTCCCCATCACTAAAGTTGTTGAACCCATTTCCAGCATCCTGAAATGGCTCAGATAACTTTCTAAACATTTAATGGTGGAGCATCACTGTATTCTACCATGGTGGAGCATCACTGTATTCTACCATGGTGGAGCATCACTGTATTCCACCATGGTGGAGCATCACTGTATTCTACCATGGTGGAGCATCACTGTATTCCACCATGGTGGAGCATCACTGTATTCTAACATGGTGGAAACTGAAACTCAAATATTAGGTGCAGACTGAACCATTTTATGTCCAAAATAGTATGAAAATTTTATTTCATTTAAATCCCACCAAATAAATTTTAGTTTACGTCTTGTGAACGGCTTTAATATTTAATGATTAATTCATTGTAGGACCACTGCTGGCAAATTTATTGGAATCATTAGAATCATGTAGTAGGTGAAGAATGACTCATCTGATCGGTTTTAAATTTTCACCATTAATGATGTTACTTTACTGAAACAGAGCTTGACAAGTACTTTGTGTTGTGCAAATTTAAATTTTCTAATGTTTTTAGGGAAATTATTTCCTTTACAATAACTAACGAATTCCTTTTCTTATCAGTTTTAAAACCTAAATGTTGGTGTTGGGTAATTTGAAGATTTTTAGTCTTAATTTGGGGCTATGTAAGATACAAATATATCAAACTTTATTTTTTTTTTTAATTCCAGGTCAAATTTGTCCTTATACGACTGTAGGGAATTTTAAGAGCTTAATAAGAAGGAAGAACTGGAAGAAATTAAGTATTCGTGTTTTTAAGGCCTTTTTTTTTATTTTATTGAAGGAAGACTTTCCTATTTTCTCGGAATATTCTCAGCAACAATTATGTTTGATTTCTCACTAAGTTTCAGTTAATAATCATGAACGTCTTATTCAGTCAGCTTCAGATTTTCAATGTTTGTATGATGTATATTGAGCAAGACTCTTGGTTCTCTCTGTGTGCTGGGTGTACTGTGTACAATGTTGCTGGGTGTACTGTGTACAATGTTGCTGGGTGTACTGTGTACAGTGTTGCTGGGTGTACTGTGTACAATGTTGCTGGGTGTACTGTGTACAATGTTGCTGGGGTGTACTGTGTACAATGTTGCTGGGTGTACTGTGTACAATGTTGCTGGGTGTACTGTGTACAATGTTGCTGGGTGTACTGTGTACAATGTTGCTGGGTGTACTGTGTACAATGTTGCTGGGTGTACTGTGTACAATGTTGCTGGGTGTACTGTGTACAGTGTTGCTGGGGGTACTGTGTACAATGTTGCTGGGTGAACTGTGTACAATGTTGCTGGGTGTACTATGTACAATGTTGCTGGGTGTACTGTGTACAATGTTGCTGGGTGTACTGTGTACAGTGTTGCTGAGTGTACTGTGCACAATGTTGCTGGGGGTACTGTGTACAATGTTGCTGGGTGTACTGTGCACAATGTTGCTGAGTGTACTGTGCACAGTGTTGCTGGGTGTACTGTGTACAATGTTGCTGGGTGTACTGGGCACAATGTTGCTGAGTGTACTGTGTACAATGTTGCTGGGTGTACTGTGCACAGTGTTGCTGGGTGTACTGTGTACAATGTTGCTGAGTGTACTGTGCAAAATGTTGCTGAGTGTACTGTGCACAGTGGTGCTGGGTGTACTGTGTACAATGTTGCTGAGTGTACTGTGCACAGTGTTGCTCAGTGTACTGTGTACAATGTTGCTGAGTGTACTGTGCACAGTGTTGCTGAGTGTACTGTGTAAAATGTTGCTGAGTGTACTGTGTACAATGTTGCTGAGTGTACTGTGTACAGTGTTGCTGAGTGTACTGTGTACAATGTTGCTGGGTGTACTGTGTACAATGTTGCTGAGAGTACTGTGCACAGTGTTGCTGAGTGCACTGTGTATGTTGAGAAATGGCATTACCAGTTAAGTTGAAAGAGTTTTTACTTAACTTAGAAAGACAGCTCATTGCCTGCACAGCCACCCCTGCAGACGAGGTCTTGAGAAGCTGTCGAAGTCATCTCTCAACGGGCTGTAAAGATTTATAATTTGTAAGATTATAAATTACCCCTAGGGGGTGTTATGTCAGCATATTTCATTCACTGATGGCTGACAAACTTACTTGTGTGGACTCAAAAGTCTGCCCCTTACTGCCGACTATAGGTTGATTACAAACTCCTTGCGACTCAAGAACTGCGCAGTCCCCCGTACTACAAGAAATTCGTAACCTACCTTGCTCTTGTAGCGTGAGCTATGGTGTTCTTCACACCTTCGACAGATATCGGTGACTTGATAGAAGCTGAAGTGTCCTTGGATGTCCACGTCTTCCATAGTCTAGGAAAACGCACTCTGGTACACTATGTTCCACAAGATTTGTCTTTATTGTTCACAATCTTATCACTAAAGAAGCTGATCACACTTCTCTTAAGTGTTTATTGTGTTTTATGAGACACTTTGTTCACACTAACGCACAGATCGTTCTTTGTTGGTTATCCTGGCGTTAGTGTCACTCTCAGTAGAGTCAAAAGTAATCTGAGGACGCCACAGCGCCCCATGCTGTCACTGCCCCTTGCAGAAAAAAAATGCTGACCTAGTACTTTTGCTTCCTTGCCACTTCCTCGATGAAGCAAAGCAAAATATTTGTTTCTTGCTGTCTTAAGCATAGACAACAATGTCCACTATCTTTACTATGGTAATAAAGTGGGAGCAGGAGTTTCCTTAATTGTCCTGCTAAAGTAAGAGATGAACTGTCTTTTATTAAGCTACACTTTGCAACACAGGACTGCAAGGAGCAGCGGTCACTTCACCACGTCGCATACTCGTACGGCATCTGTGATCAATTACTCACTGTAGCAGTAAACAAGACGCTTGCCCCTTCTGAGAGGGCTGAAAGGGGCTGAAGGGGCTGAAGGGGGCTGATACCCCCACCTGGAGAAAATTTCTCCACAGTGTACAATGTTGTTGAGTGTACTGTGTACAATGTTGCTGAGTGTACTGTGTACAATGTTGCTGAGTGTACTGTGTACAATGTTGCTGAGTGTACTGTGTACAATGTTGCTTTGTGTACTGTGTACAATGTTGCTGAGTGTACTGTGTACAATGTTGCTGAGTGTACTGTGTACAATGTTGCTGAGTGTACTGTGTACAATGCTGCTGAGTGTACTGTGCACAGTGTTGCTGAGTGTACTGTGTACAATGTTGCTGAGTGTACTGTGTACAATGTTGCTGAGTGTACTGTGCACAGTGTTGCTGAGTGTACTGTGTACAATGTTGCTTTGTGTACTGTGTACAATGGTTTACAAAGACACGTAAGCAAACACTTTGACATATTTATTAGAAAACGTTTCGGTCCTGGGACCTTGATCACTTCTAACATACAGAGGTAGAAAGACATTATATATATAGGCGGAGAGTGAGGTGTGACGCACACCTCACATCTGATACATCTTGGTCCACACTTCAACACTTACTTCGGCCCACGTGGCCAGGGCAAGCCTGACATTATCATCACAAACAGAGCCAGCCTCTACCTTCACCACTACATCACACCAGGCCCCCTTTCAGGCTCAGACCACATCCCCATCACCCTCCATATTTCCTCTAACCCTATCCTCATTCCTTCCAGACCAAGTCCCTCATTCTCCAGAGCCAACTGGGACTCCTTCAAACAACACCTAAACAACACCAATCTCATGTATAACTTTGACAACAGACCCACCTCAGACATCGACACTCAGATTGCTCTCATCCAGGACTCTATTACACAAGCTGCTGATCACTCTATACCAAAGAAATGTCACACTGTCAGATACTCCTTCCGCCCTTCTGAGAGAACAAAACGCCTTCTCCTCTACTACAGACACCGTTTTGCCTCCAACCACCACAGATTTGCCTTTGTCAGCAGAGACCTCACTTTCCTGCGGAACAACATCATCCGCAGCCTGGATGAGGACCACGCCAAACACTGGCTGGCCCTCGTCCAGGCTGCTGGAAAACACCGCATACAGGACCCCAGGGAGTTCTGGACCTTCATCCGGAGAGTCACTGGAGTCCCAAAGACAACACATTTCCAGCACATCACACACAACAACATAAACATCACAGACCCTACACAAGCAGCACGAGCCTTCAAGGACATATGGGAAAACATCTTCCAACCCCACCCGCCTGACCCTGCTGCACAACAACACACTCAAGCCTTAGAACACTGGATATCCACACACAGACACATGACACAACCTGACCCTACTATACAACTCTCCTCTCTCACCTCCACCCACATTCTAAACACCCCTTTCTCCCACCCTTCAGTCAAAGCCTTAATCCTGAAGCTTCCTCCCAAAGCCCCAGGAGCTTCAGGACTATCTCACCACATACTTCGACACCTCCCGGACTCTGTCATCTCAGCACTCACAGACCTCTACAATGCCTGCCTCGCCTCCGGATACTTCCCTTCCTTATTTAAATCTGCCATAGCCACACTCATCCCAAAACCTGGCAAAGACCCGACTGACCCAAGAAACTACAGACCCATCAGTCTACTGGAGACCCTTGGGAAGACATTTGAAAGACTTATAAATCACAGACTAAGGACGCACCTAGAGACAAACCACCTACTAACTGACCGACAATTTGGCTTCCGCCAACACCGCTCTACGCAGGCAGCTCTCAACATTATCCTGAATTATATTCGAATAAATGAGGCCCAAGGCTGTGCAACGGCCCTAGTTGCTAAGGACGTGGAGAAAGCCTTCGACACGGTCTGGCACTCGGGGCTGAAGTACAAGTTGTGTAATCATTTTG